ACGCACTTTTTTAGCCTCATAACTACGCCACTTAATTGATTAATTAAGTAATCGATCACGGATCTTCATGTTGTGGTGACGCGGCTTAAATACCATGCCTTTAAAATGATGCATGTGATTGTGCCCTAATAATGCCATACCGCTATTTACTAATATCAATTTTAATGAAATTGAATCTTTTTTTTTATTATTATTATAAATTACATTTTAGAGTTAATCGACATTTTGGTCCGTTAATTGTTTCTCAACACTCAATGTAGTCCCTAGTTTTTAATTTTAACCAATTTGATCCTCGAATTGTTTCAAGTTTTGTCAATTAAATCCTTTCGGAAACCAAAATGCATGGTGATTTCCACATTTTTTAAGACTTTGTCAATTTTGTCCCTAAAAGGGTTTCATTAACGAAATTTTAAATAATTTATAAAATAAATTGATTGAAATTAAAAATTAAGAATTACATTAACAGTTGGGAAACAACTGATTGGACCAAAATGTTGATTTTCCCTTTCATTTTAATTGTGCCCCATAACTTCTGGAGGAAAAATTATTCATAAGATTGTCATTTAAGTTTGAAAATAAAGAATGTGTGGTTTATTTTTCAGATTATTGTAATAATTATTGGTCCAAATAATAAATCTAGTTCAAGTTTTATCTCTCTAGTTCCTAATTTTTAAACTAACAAATGTAAATCTATTATTCATTGTTGAAATCAACTTATTTTCCTTATTTTAAAAAATAATTTCTAATAATTTTAAATATATTGTTTGTGTATTTAATGGAACTTTTAATGTAATTTTAATATTTAAATAAATATAAATATATAAATGTGTGTGTAAACTTATTCACTAAATTTTTTTTTTTTTTGAATGCTACTAGCTCTATTAAAATATAGTATCTATTCATATACTTTCTTTCTCAACCTACTAAAACACAAAAAACCAATAACGCCTCCACTGAAACTCAAACTCACAACCTTCCAAATGGAAGTCCAACCCGAGTACCATTAAACCACATAGTCTTGGTACCATACACCACTAAAATTAAATTAAATACTATAAAAATTAAATTAAATTTTTTGAGTCTAGTACTAGTCTAGTATCCACGGCAAGCATAAATTTTGGAGTGGATGGCGTACTAGTAACTAGTGTAGGCAAGCATAAATTTTGGAGTGGATGGCGTACTAGTAACTAGTGTAGGATTTCTATTAATAGGTTATAATTGCTTAAATGTCATTTAAAAAAAAATGTATATTAACTAACAAAATATAAAATTGTTTAAAAGTATCGATATTTTGAAATAGAGTTAATTCTACAAGGGATCCCTTGTTTTTTTTAGCAATTTCAAATTTAATCTCAGATTATTGATTTTGCCATTTAACATCTCAGATTATTATTTTTGGACACTTTTAGTCATTTGCATTACTTTTTTTTTTTTTTTTTTTTAAATTTAGTAAGGGCATTTTTATCTTTTCATATTCTTTTTTATTATTTTTTCGGTTTCAACCGGTTTAATTGATTTAGAACTTTAGTCTTTAGGTAACCTATGATTTTTAATAACTATATTTTTCAACAGATTTTTAGTTGAATACGGCAATTTATATCCTACACCACGGCGCGCGTTGCACTATGCGCCCAGATGCAAAACGACGTCGTTTTAATTTTTTTTTTTTTGAAATTTCCCGCCCCAGTGAATGGCAGTAGTTTTTTCTTAAAAAAAAAACCCGCTGTTCAAGAATGTATATAATGTTATACTAGAATATACATAATGTTATACATGAATGTACATAATTATATAACAAAATATACATACTCTTTTTAAAAGATAATACACATAATCTAACATAATACATAATAAACATAAACTTTTAACATAATACACATCAACTCTTAACATAATACACACAAATTTTCTGATTCGGATGTACATAATTGTATAAAAAATACACATAACTGTATGAACCAATACACATAACGTTGTGAACAAATACACATAACGTTGTGAACAAATACATATAATCTCAGCAACTTCCTACCGCGCCTCTCAACACTACCCCAAAACGACGTCGTTTTAGGAGGCGCGCGGCGCACAGTGCTATGTGCGCCGTGGTGTAGGATATAACGATTGGTAAAATCCTAAACAAATTAAACCGGTTAAAACTAAAAAAATAACAAAAGAAAAATATGAAAAGATAAAAATGTCCTTACTAAAAATAGAAAAAATCATGAGAATGATTAAAAGTGTCAAAAATAATAATGTAAGATATTAAATACCAAAAATAATAATCTAAAACTAAATTTAAAACGGCCACAAAAACAATGAATATATCTAATTAACTCTTTTGAAATACTTGCAATGCCATACTTTTTCCATAATAAACCATTACGTTCAAAATAAAAACAGACAGAATATGTAAAGAATTATTTTTGAATTTAATTGATGATAGTGTTGTATTCCAACCAACAGACCACATGGTGTGGGCCCTATACATGTTAATGTTCCTCTGATTAAGCAAATATAGCGTACCATATTCCACTTTGCTCTTCTCTATGTTGTCATCTGCAAATCTCATTCATTTTAATCATGCCCATCACCTAATATTGTGGCCCACCTCTTTGTTTTGGGTCACTTTCTCAAACTTCAATTCCTAGGACCAACAAACCTCCAATTGTTATATTTTGGATTAGGTTCTATCATGTAATCTTTGCAATCGTTATGCAATGGAACCGTGTTCACCATCCATAGTGAATACAATCTTAACAATAACAGTGCACCGTTATCTTTCTTTCTTTCTTTTTTTTTTTTTTTTAATTAACTGTGTGACTTTTTCTTCTTCATTTTCACATTTTGTGGTTTCACTTCCTCTTCGCCCAAGCTTCTTCAACATAATCTCATAAAAAGAAAATTCATAATTTCATAACTGCACATTCATAATTGCATGGATTTATGAATGTGCATTTATGAAATTATGAATTTTCTTTTATGCGATTATGAATTTTCTTTTATGAGATTATGAATTTACAGTAAATTCATAATCTCATAACAGAAAATTCATAATTTATTAAATGTTTTTCTTTTATGCGATTATGAATTTTCTGTTATGAGATTATGAATTTACAGTACATTCATAATCTCATAACAGAAAATTCATAATCTGACCAAACGCGCGCCGTTAACACCACATTAGCTAAAAAAAAAAAAATTCCGTAAAAACGGCACCGTTTGGACCCGTGTTCACCATTCATGGTGAACACGTTTCCAGGGCATAATTTGCGTAATCTTTGAGTATAGTAGATTCTGGGTGCTCAGATTATATACTTGTAATTATGAATTATATACTTTCTTAATAAATTGTGTACCAATTATAATTAATATCTATGTGCATGCAGTTAATATATTATATACATTTAATTTATTTATAGGTATATAATTGATTAACTTAAAGCATATAATAAATTAATTGCAAATATATAATCTGGATGTAGTTATTTTGGACTAGCTAGGATCCACAATGCAATGTGGAACCTGGTCCATGATATAATTTGCTTGACAATCGTTATGCTATGGACCCGTGTCCACAATGCACTTTGGACACGGATTGAAACGACAACATTTCATTGTAGCGCATTAACGGTGCCGTAAGTGGCACCGTTATCTTCAGCCAATCGTTTTTTTTTTTTAAAAAAAAATTAAGCTTAAATATTAATACCCGATTCGTCACTATTGAGACTCCATTTTTGCGGTTTCCTGTCGATCAAGCTTCCATCTTCTTCCTCGCAAAATCATCTCTTCAACCTTCATTCTCCCAATTTTCACCATTTTCTCTGTTTTTCTTCAACACAAACTCCATCACCAAAAACTTCACCGTCGATCGCACGCCAAGTCCCCATCATTTACTCTTACATTGCTCCGTCGACGTACAGGTATTATGTGTCTAACACTCTTAAACAATGAGTTTATACAGCGTAAACATGTACATTCTCTATACATTTTGTGATTTTGAACTAGGGTTTGTATAACATAACACTGTACATTCTGTATATTCTCGAATGTTGTGTATATTAGTATATAGACTTCAAATATTACGATTATAGTTTTCAAAAGATTATGAATGTTCGTAAATTTTGTGAATATATGATTCCTTTGCTTATGAGCATGTCTTGATGTATTCTACCTTGTGAATGGTAGGGTGCATCCTGAGTTTGTTGTCTATTTTTTCGTGGTCTTGTTGGTTCTGTGAGGTTGTTGATCCTCATCTTTATTGAGAGTGTAATGGTCTTCGATGTTGACTCCCCTCTTTGGTTTTAAAATGATATATATGGTATTCCTCGGTTTCAAATGCCTTTGATTATATCTATCTATACTATGCTATTTAACGCGTATTGATGGGTTACCAGCAATATTCGCTGATCGGGTGTTATCCCCATGTTTTACTGATTTTGAGTAGATGCCGAGCGCGCTAGATGTGGAAGCTAGATATAGTAGCTACCATGTTTAGACGTTATCTTTTGTTGGCCTGTGTGCCTAGATTAGCGGCATGTGAGCCTAGACTAGTGGCCTGTGTGCCTAGAGTTATGCTACCTTTTGATGATTGATAGTTTTTAGTCTGTGAACTTATGGTTTATGGGTGTGGCATAACATCTCTCAGATTTTAATTAGCTTCTACTGTTGATTGTCTTAATGATTAGTTGTCTATCCTCTAAATTTAAGTTTTAAAAAGTTGGTAAAATCGGGGGTGTTACAGTTGGTATCAGAGCCTAGGATGTTAAGAGTTAGACTTTAAGAAGTTAAGTGTGATTTGAGACCATAAGTTGACCTTTAAGTGCCTAAGTGCTAGGACTTAAGTTTATTAGGACGCGCGGTGAGCTGTGAGTTTGTTTATCGTCGGTTGTGTTTACCCTACTGTTCTTGTTTAGTTTTGGCGTTCTTGTCTTTAGCGCCGGGTAAGGGTGCAGAGTTTCCTTGTGCTTACCGTAACCGTGTTGTTTCTGTAAAATCTCGTCATGGCTCCGCCTCGTCATCGAGCCCGTACCCCGGAGACGCCGACCAACGAGCAGCTGGCTCAGAACCTGCAGCGTCTGACCCAAACGATGCAGACGTTGAGCGACGCCCTCTTGCACAACAACAACCCTCCTCCGCCGCCGCCTGCTGGGAATCGAGACGTGGGCCGCTTAGTTTTGGGGCATAGGCTGCCCGTCTTTGCTGGAGAGGAAGACCCTGTGCTGCTTGAAGATTGGATCAAGACCCTGGACAAGATCTTTGTTGTGGTGGGTTGTCCGGATGATCGCCGCGTCGAGTTTGCTTCGTTTTACTTTAGCCACGAGGCCGACCTCTGGTGGGTGCACGAAGGCCCAGCATGCCAAGAAGAGCCTGGATTCGATTGGTCAGCTCTAAAGGATAAGTTAAGAGAGAGGTTCTACCCATCACACGTTAGAGCGGCCATGTACGAAGAGTTCTTGCATCTTCAACAAGGGTCGTCGTCTGTGGTGGAATACCACAAGCGCTTCCTCGAGCTAGCCTATTTTTCTCAGATGTTGGTTCCTACCGAGTTAGCTAAGGTGGAGAAGTTTGTGGTGGTACTCAACTACGAAGCCCGGAAAGCTTTGACTGTGAGCAAGCCAAGGACGTTGAATGAGGCCTACCTGAGCGCATCTGATCTGTATCGTGTGCAACAGCTTCAACGGGGGTCCTTTGAGTTCGCCAAGAAGAGAAGTGAAGGAAGTGGATCTCACAGTTTCAAGAGGCCAAGGAAGGATTTCAGAGCCAGACCCGCACCCCCTCCGTCTCAAGGATCGAATCGGGTCGAGAGTGGAGGAAAAGAGAGGTCTTTCGGATGCAAGAGGTGTGGGAAGGACCACGTTGGGTAGGATTGCCAAGGGAATGCGCTTCGGTGCTACAAGTGCGGGGAAATGGGCCACAATGCTTTTGAGTGCCATCACCAATCCAATCAGAGAGCCTTGCCACCTAGCACGGGACCCAGCGGACCATCAGGAGGGAGTTCCGGTCGAGGCTCAGGAGGAACGAGGCCTTCGGGAAGAGTGTTCGTGATGAGCCGGTCACAGGCTGAGGTCGAGGGTTTAGTGGAGGAGGAGCCCACAGGTATCTTTTTTGAGCCTACCTTTTATCTTTAGAGAGTACCCTTTTCGTGTGATTCCCGTACCCTTTTTGCGTGATTCTCCTTGTTATCTTTTTGAGTGAATTTTTCCTTTGTGACTTGATTGTCCCTTTTGAGTGGTTTACTTTAGTTTTAATTTCGGGATTTTATGGTTATACATTTAATTAGGACCTCACCCCTTCGTGCCACCTAAAACCTAAACCGTTACCTTAAAACTTAGAATGGCCTTTTAGTAGGGAACCTTTAAAAGTTAAGGCTAAAGAGTTAAGGGAAGTTTAATTCATAGATAGCAAGTTTCAAACCCGAACCTCCAAGTTTTCAAACCAACCCTTAAACCATCTAGACCAATTGTGTTTCTTGAACTTTATCCCACATAAATTCCTTTTAACCTTTATTTTTAATCTATCCAAAAAATCCCCAAATTAAAATCTTCTCTTTCCCAAATTTTCCCTAAACCCTTATTTTTCCCCCTACCCGTGAGCTTCAGCCGAGCACACCACCACCGGCCGCCGCCCTCTGCCCGTCGATCGCCACCACCCGTCGCCACCTGTCGCCGTTGCCGCTCCTCCTCGCCGCCGTCGCCGCTCCTCCTCGCCGCCGTCCAGCCGGAAGTCGCCGCAGGCCGAGAGAGAAAGGGGAGAAGAGTAAGGAAAAGAAAAAAGAAAAGAAGGAGAAGTTTTGGGTCTACCTTGGTCTTGGACATCTCAAATCATGCCTAGAAGGTCTAGAACCGCAAGAAGAGTGGAATGGGTGGATGCCCATTACTCAGTTTTGGAAGGTAAAGCTTTTGACCCCGACTCTTTTTCTAGTTCCTTGTTGGAGTTGTTGAACTACCAAGGTTTGTTGGATGGGTATCTCGCAATTAGGACCGAGACTTACCCAAGTTTGGTAAAGGAATTTTACCGTCACATGAATGTGATCAAGAATGGGAATAAGTTGGAAATCACCTCTGAAGTGGGAGGTGTGAAAATTTCTTTGATTGAGAAACGGTTGGCTCAGATTTTGAGTTTGACAACTTCTGGAGTCTCACAGTACAGTGGTGACTCTTGGATTGAGACAAGTAGCATGAGTTATCAGAATTATTTGAGTTATCTGTTGGGAAGGACTAGTGGTTTTACCCAGGCCATGAGGCCAGAGAGGAAGTGGCTTTCTGCCGAGCAAAAGATTTTGGTAATGCTCGTTTCTGATTGTTTGTTGCCTAACAATAACAAGAGTCACTTGCTGGGTAAACTGGAGTACACCTTTGCCTTCTGCCTGAAGTACAAAGTGAAGTTCAACCTCCCCTCTTTAATCTTGCAACATATGGACTATTGTAGAGATCATAACCGAAAGAGCTTGCCCTATGGCATGGTTTTAAGTTGGATCTTCGTTAGGAAAGGGGTGAATGTTGAAGGGTGTGTGCCCAAGCCGGTGAGCAAGATGGTTTTGGATGCCACGAATCTCCGGAGTTGCAATCTGTTTCAATTGGATGATGGTGACTACATCACTCTTGAAGAAGTCGCAAGGAAAGCCCCTGTCGAGATGAGTTCTTTGGTTAAAGAGCTTGAGATCCCCGTTGGGAAGCTGAATCAAGCGGTGCAGAATTTGGGTGGGGACGCGGTGAATGAAAGCGAAGAAGAGGAAGAAGAAAAAGAAGAGGAAGCCGAGGAAAGTGATCCCGATAGCGAGGAGAGCTTAAGAAGGGAGGAAGTGAGGACTAAGAAAGAACATGAAACCATGACACATGAGGAACGTGTGGTGACCCTCCTTCGACAGCAGAATCAGATGATTGAGGAAGGCTTCTCCTTCATGAAGGCTCAGTTTGTTACCGTGAACCAGATGCTGGATAGGTTGGAAGCTAGTTCTAGCCGGGGTAGAGCCGAGGAAGCTTCTGACGAGGATGCCGAGGATTCGGAGGATGATTCCTCCTAGGCCGGAGTTTGGGGTAAGCTCGTTTCCCTTTCTCGTTTGGTTGTTTGTCGGTTGGTAGTGTTGCGTGTTTAGTTGTGTGCTTAGTGGTGCTCTCTTGTTTGCCTTGGTTGTTAGCTTGTTGCTTGGGTGGTTTGTTAGTTGCTTTGCCTTGTTTGAGCTTAGTGGGTTCTTGGATTAGGAATAGTGTAGCTAGGTGTTAGTTGTCCTTAAGGTTGTGTTAGTGGTGGTGTTGCTTGAGAAGTCTCTTTCATGACCTTGAAACTTTGCATTCCTTGATTCTTGAAACTTTACACCTCTTGATCTTTGGAGCCTTGTTTATTGGTATTTTGCTTCCTTTTTTCACATCTTTGATTCGTTGCTATCTTTTGATTGAACTCGTCGTGCCCAAGCTTCGGGGACAAAGCTTCTTGTTAGGGGGAGATGATGTGACACCCCGTAAATCTAAACACTAATCGCGGATTAATTGAAGAATTAATCCAAGTTCCCTTGCTAATTCATTTCTAAAAATCCTGAAATTTGATAGTCGAAGGACTAGATTTTGACTAGTCATTTAAGTCAAAAGGGTGTACCTTGTGCTTCTTGAGTTCTGCCCTTGTTCCCTTGTCTTTCTACCATTAGTAAGGGTAAAAATGTCTTTTCACCTATGAATTGTGATTCAAGCTACCCTAGCAAGACATTCTCATTTCATTCATATTTTCAACCTAAAACTCTAACACTCTAGCCTATCTCTAAAATAATTTAGCTTACTCTCCAAGCAAGAAAGTGAACTTTCAAGCCTTGCAAGATTTTCTACCAAGATTCCTACTTTCTCCTTCTTGAGCATAGGAAAGGGTAAGATTCACAGCTTTTTGGTGTTTTTAACCTTCTTTTAGGTGTCTTTAGCTAAAGTTAGGATCTTTCTTGTGTTTTGGTTTGTGTAAGAAGTTGGTGTGGAAGAAGAGATCTAGGAAAAGGCTTTTAAGGGTGAGAAGAAGAAGTTGTTAGGCTACAAAGGTAACCCATGCTATACAAAACCTATTTTCTTACTTAAATGATGATTTTTGGCTTCTACTTGTTGTTCTTGTGATGATTTGTGAGATTTGATGCAAGATCTTGTAATGATGCATGTTTAGAGCTTATTCTTAGGTTTCTTGAATGCCATTGCTTGGCTATTTCTTGGGTTTAAGTCATATCATTGTTGTGTGTGAGATTTTGGATGTTTTGGACTTGAACTTTGCCTTGTTGATTTTCCCCGAAAGGAAATTTTGGTGTACAGGTTGTGCCCCGCGGGCGGAACGGCGGGTAGTGGCCTACCCGCCGCCCCACCCGCGGGGAACAATGGCTTTGGTGGGGTGTTTCCCGCGGGCAAACCCACAGGTGGGGGTCTATCCGTGGCCCCACCTGTGGTGTACATGGTTGGCGTTGGGCGGGGATTTGTTCCCCGCGATTCTTTCTTCTCGCTATTGATGTTTTGACCTCCCGTTGTTGATTTATTGGGTTATTTGTGAGTCTTCTTGATGTTTCGTATATCTAGAACGGTGTGTTAGGAATCCATGTAGGATTTGGTGTCTTGAATCGAGCTAAGGGTCCAACTTTATGGTTCGTTGGGCTAATGTGAGTCTTGAATGTTCTTTGGAACTAAATTTGGTTTACCCGTTTGACAAGCATGCTAGTTTGATGTTGATATGCTATTATGTGTGGTTTGTTCCTTCGTATTGGGATTGGCAACTTGTGTTGACAATCAATTGGTGTTGGATTGTAATCCTTTGTTGTCGAGTATGGTCTCATGTCTTTATTGTGATCTCTTGATTGATTCATATGGTGTGATCGTATGCAAATCGTTGTACCCTTTGTTGATACTTGATTGGGACTATTGTTGAGCCTTAGTCTTCTTGGTAATGATGATGACTATGTGTGACTATGATTGAGATTAGTGGTTTTGTTACTTGAGCTTTGCTCACGAGATTGGAACAGGGCAAAATGTTGGACTCAGAAGTACAGGGCAAAATGTTGGACTCAGGAGGTAACGGTTGGAACTGTGATAAGGCCGGGAGTAGCCATAAGGTTGGAATAGGGCATAAGATTGGAAGTTGAAAGTTTAATGTGGTACCGAGTACCATGAATCTTGTGACACGAATGTGTGTCATTGTGTGATTGTATGATTCCTTTGCTTATGAGCATGTCTTGATGTATTCTACCTTGTGAATGGTAGGGTGCATCCTGAGTTTGTTATCTATTTTGTTGTGGTTTTGTTGTTGCTGTGAGGTTGTTGATCCTCATCTTTATTGAGAGTGTAATGGTCTTCGATGTTGACTTCCCTCTTTGGTTTTAAAATGATATATATGGTATTCCTCGGTTTCAAATGACTTTGACTATATCTATCTATACTATGTTATTTAACGCGTATTGATGGGTTACCAGCAATATTCGCTGACCGGGTGTTATCCTCATGTTTTACAGGTTTTGAGTAGATGTCGAGCGCGCTAGATGTGGATGCTAGATAGAGTAGCTACAATGTTTACGTTATCTTTTGTTGGCCTGTGTGCCTAGATTAGCGGTCTGTGAGCCTAGACTAGTGGCCTATGTGCCTAGACTTATGCTACCTTTTGATGATTGATAGTTTTTAGCCCGTGCACCCTTGGTTTATGGGTGTGGCATAACATCTCTCCGATTTTAATTAGCTTCCGATGTTGATTGTCTTAATGATTAGTTGTCTATCGTCTGAATTTAAGTTTTAAAAAGTTGGTAAAATCGGAGGTGTTACAGACTGTCTCTAAACTGTCTTGATTCCTACCCCTTTAAAAAGACCATAAAATGAGCAAACTTACTCATCACGTCATATGATCAAAAGTAAGAATGGAC